GTAAAACTGGTAGGGCCTGATTTGCAACCATCAGAGTTCCTTCCTTGTAATGAAAATAGTGTGCACTAAATGACTAACAGAGGAAACCACTCAGAGAAATGCTTATATTAGAAGTATAGACCCTCAGTGAGACCACAGTAATCAATTACCTAAACTGAAGCCCTGGCAGCTACTATGAATCGCTATTGATTTCATCTACCTGTCAGTGTATCTTTCTAGGGCTAGGCTGGAATGTAGCTATGAGATGTAGGCAAAATTAGGAGCTGGAACAAACCTCGCTGGAAAACACAGGCAGCCACTAGGTTTGGGGAATATATGTTATGCTGGAGTTTGTTGTTTTTGGAAGTGCTTAAAAACCCAAGTTCCACTCAGGGTAAAAATGACGTGTGAGATCAGCATACATTGAAATGAGAAAGGTGAGAATTTGGTGGTTTTTTTTTGTGAAGTTACTATGGAAAATGATATCTGGCCTTCTAAAGAAAGCCTCTTTCCTCCATTGCAGTTAAATAAAGGGAGGGCAATTTTTTTCTATACTCTTCATCTCACTATAAAAATTATTTCCTTCTTGCAGTGGACCAATGTATATAAATGTTTCCAAAATAGTGCTATAAGATGCAGTCCCTTACATGCTGTAGCTTGTGAATTGCAAGTTTGTTTTCTACAAAATTCACTTTCTTGTAGAATTCCTTGATTGTTTCAGAAAGACAAAGCAGCTATTTCTTTATGCATGCTGTTTGCTTCAAAGGGAATTCAATCTGTTTTGAGGAGACTGCTATGTTTCTATTATCATGGAAAGAAACTTATTCTGGAACCTTTTTTGCTCAGCAGGAACCGTATGCGTTTTCCACATTTTCATTATACACGTTTTGGCATGAGCATAAAGCAGGCATGATCATTTATATTCTAGCTGATCAAGAGGAGAAGTCTGATTAATGTGAATTTTGGATCAAGGTGAGGGTCGTCTTTGTAACCTTCACTAAAAGGGACTTTATGGAGTGACTGCTCCCAGAGGGGGATGTTTCTGTTAGATCAGTGGCCCAGAGGCAGTGGAACAAATCTTCCTCCTGTCATCCTCATTTTACTATCAGCTCCACAGCAGCAGCACAAAATACTGCATTAGAACTAAACACACCACATAACTGAATCTTGTACTCAGATCTTATCCGTCACAACGCATATAATTGCAGGTTGTTAATCATGCCTTTCCTTACACTCTTCCGTCCTTCCTCTCCCACTGATTTGTTTTCTCTTCCTGAGATCTCTCCCTGAAGCCTCCTTTCTCCTCTTGGTCAGATCCTGTCCTGCCTGTTCACTCCCCTACATTAGTTCTCTGTTCTTGAACAATTTTGGGAAAGCAATGTAGAAACTCTTAGTCAAACTAAGGCTTACATTGCCTTAGGGTATCTTTGTTGCCTTTCCCAGAATTAACTCCAGGTCTTCTATTCTAGTTTTACTAACCCAATTGCAAGAATATCACCTATAACCGTTGTGGTCTCCAAGCATACTAGACTTTTCATTTCCATTTTGCTATGGAGAGCATCTAGAAAATCTGTAGGGCTCTTCATATCTTTATCCCGTTTTGCTGAGCCAAGCATAGGTGGGAGATCTGGTAAGTTAGATGGCAAACAGTTGGGTTAGGAGGGACAGACCTGTTCTATTTTTTGCAAGCAAGAAGATATTTTCTGTTCCTTGCTTTAATGTCAATGAATTAAAAGATTGCCAGTGCATTCCAGCCCATCACTGGTAAGAGGCCACTTCAGCCTTCCCATAGAGCAAGTACCTACCAGGGATTGAAAAGCCTCATTCTTTGCAAGCATGCGTGGAAGTCAAAGGAGTCTGGAGATTTTTTCATTTTCTTAGAGGAAATTTCTACCCTGTTCAGGGACAGGAGCACCACCTTTTCGAGGACAGCATGATTATATCCTATTGCACTGCCAGTGGTGAGCTCTTTAGTGTTTCTTAGATAGCTTTGATCCTAGTTGTTCTGTCCGCACTCTGAAACTGAACCGTATGACACATGGAACCACAGGAGTCAGATGTGACTGGTATTTCAGATGTGAATGAACTGGGGGAGAGGGACGATGCCCTGCTCAAGGTATCCCGCCATGAGATATGATTGCAAGGGTAGAGGATAGTGTAGGAGATGACTCTACAGATTTGTGCCATTAGAATACTTTTTTCTTTAGCAATAGAATTTTCATTTAATCAGTTTCTGCCAGATTTCCTCTTCTTTGAGCTTTTTAAGTGCACCAAAGGGCCTGTTTCTGAAGCACACTGTCTGCTCCAATTTTTTTTTTTTCATATTTTCATGCAATGTTATGCTTAAAAGGAAGGAAAAGACACAAAGGGAAGATGGAAAAATAGAAATGCAAAATGTCTCATGGGAGATGCTTGCCCTTACCATGTCATGCTAGTTTAAATACAGTTCCCACACATCACATGTCAAGCTGTACTTGATTGTTTTCAAATAGATGGCAAAAATCATGAGAGGAGGAAAATGTTCTTTTGTGTGACACGCTCTTCTTTTGATACATTGGGTTCTGTAGCTGTCAAAGCAAAGGCTGCTTTTCCATCTATTATTGCAAATGCATTTGGGGTAAGTCTCTTCGGCAACTCTCTATTCCCTTGATTGTTTACTTCAATGCAAATGTTATTGTTTTAATTTTTCTAAATCTAAGGAACTGAGGAATTGCCCGTGGTACATTTTCCCTGTGATCCTCGGTAGGCAATGAGGTTCTTTCTCAGTGGAGATTTAGATCACATCTGGAACTGCAGTCTCTTTCAAGTACTTTCTGCTTTTCTGGCAGGAGAATGGAATATTTAATTTCATTATTCAGCACAGGGTTATTCATTTCATGCAATGAAGGGAAATTCATCAATATTGTCTTCAGCATCCAGAAAAATGGTACTTACCATGACTGTTTCACATACTCTATTTATATTTTATATCTTTCTCATCACTCAGCAATTATTCATCTCTGCTGAGAGGTGAAATTCTTGTATTGAGTTACTGTAACTTCTCTGAACTCCTGAAAGCAGTTCAGTCACTTGAAGGATATTGCTTTTACTTAAAGTAGAACTGCCTTGAGACAGTTTCACCAAATACAAATAACTGGATAAAGGTTGTATTTTCCTGTTGATTTTCAAAAGTATTTAGCGATGCTTTATAAAAGTGGTAAATCAATGTTGCTACATCTTAACATTCACTCACTAATATTATTCATGATGGGCTCTTGGAGATGGATGCAAATGTGATAGTGCAAGTAAGAGGGAGTGCAGTTGGAATGCAACGTTAATTTATTCCCAGTTGTTATTAAATGTCACAAGATATTAATAATTTTGCTGATATTTTTCTTTTTAAACCACTTGGTATATGCAAAGGAATAAAATCAGTGTGATGTATATGTCTATGCAAATTCATCAAGATAATTATCTCTGAATCTTCTGTATTATGTTTAATTATCAATGTGGGGTCTCAGATCTGCATTTTGGGGAAAGATCAAAGTATAGGATGACAGACTGTACACTGTTCCCACAGAAATCAATCAAAGATCTTCCATTTGGGAAGTGGGCACAGTGGGAACAGAAACAGGCTTAGTATCGTGATACGTGATTTCTCTTGCCATCAGTAAAACAGATTTTCTCATTTATCTTATCCTCTGAGATGTTTAAATTTTGAATGTCAGATGATTTAAATTTTGTGTTTGGGGAATCCAGACACTGAGACGATTTGTGTTTGGGGCACTGAACAGGGACTCAGTAGATCTGGGTTTGTTCTGTCATGCATTTCCCATGTGATCTTATGCAAATCCTTTATTGCCTCTCGCACAGCCTCGTCAGTAAAATAGGATAATGTTACTCTTCTCCTTGTTCGAAGGATTTGTTAACATTTGGATGGCTTATCTACAGTACATTGCTGAGGGCCGTATGAAAATCTACAATCTTATTTAAAGTACTGCTTCACATATATATCCTTCTTTCACTTCCTTCTTCGGCATCTTCTGCTTTCTTAGAGCCTCTCATGGGACTCTCTCATTTTTTCTTTGTAAGAAATTTTCCACAGGCTGGCCTTCTCCTCCAAATATGTACTAATAGGGTTCCGTTTTTTAATCTTAAGGCAGGTAATATGTATGAGTGGATATGTAGGTGTTGGATGGGCATTTTGTCTGCTACACTTGATGCAGATAATCTTTGGTCATCCAACTAACAGGTTTGTGCTTAGGAAACTAGATTTTTGATGTATTTTCTTCTGGGTATTTTCACTTAATTATTCAGGTGTACAATTCTCTGTCACAGAAATTCAGACTGATTTCAGTAGTGAGCATTCTTTCCATAAAAACCCAGGAATACCATTTCAGATACTTCTTTTGCAAGTATTCAAATAGCAGCAGCAATACTGTGCACGTTTTTTTTTTTCCTAAAGGAAATTGTATCAGTATATGTGTGTGTTTCTGGCTTCTGGGTTTACCATATTTGCCTTTGCAAAAAATATATTTATTGTTTGAAGCTTTTAACTTAAGCTATGTGTATTTTTTAGCTCAAGGTGCACGATCATACAAGCCAGTGAGCCTTTACTGGAGGGAGCAGATCTGAGCTGTACATTGTTCCCTACCCATCAGTATTATCTGGGATAGAGCAGTGATTTCAATAGCAGCTGCAGGAGATATAGCTATCTGCTCTCTGTTAGTTTTAATGAAGGTGAGTTCTGTATCCCCTGGAATACTGTTCCTTTGATGTCTTTGCATAGCATGGACAAATGTTGACCTAGTAATGGCATGTGCTGCAAAGCCATTGCTGAGTAGTGGCTTTTCGAGTTTGGTGTAAATGAGACAGGTATTGAAAACTAAAAACACCCTACTGCCAAAAAAATGAGTGTATATTTATCTAAAAGCATTAAATGTATGGACATTTACACGCTTCCTTCAAGAAGGCAGTAAGAGTCATTTACTAAGAGTGGTTTACCTGCAAACTGCATTTTCCTTAATAAAACTTCCATTCAGACATTGTAGATATAAAGCCAGCCAATATGGAGGACCTGACGGAAGTGATTACAGCCTCTGAGTTCCATCCCCATCACTGCAATCTCTTTGTCTACAGCAGCAGCAAAGGATCCCTGAGACTCTGTGACATGAGGGCATCGGCTCTCTGTGACAAACATTCCAAGCGTAAGTCCTTGCTTCATTGTGTCCCAGGTGTCATTAAAGTCTTACTATTCACTGACAGCATGTAGATGTTTGCATACCTCAGCGTATTAACTTCTCGGTTGCAGGCACAGTTGAAAAGAAAACAGCAAAAGGAATAAACTTTTGTCATCTGTACAGATACCTATGAACTTGATAACTGTCATGTCTGTGACTGGTGTCCGTGGTGGTTCTTATTGCAGGGATCAGTGAAGAACCTACAACACTCCAGCAAAAGAAAAATGATTTGTAGCAGATGAAATATGCATGGAGGAGGAGTATTTAAGTAGATTAGCATACTGTTTTGAATACAAAACTCCTGTTCTGAATATGCATCAAGTAAATTCTGTCACTCAAACTGCCTTCAAAATATTGAAAACATTGTCAGGATTTAGAAATGTCAAGGTCCTTCCTAAAAATTTAGCTCATCATTCCCTATATGTGACGGAGCCACCAATTCATGACAGTTCATACCTGAGACCTACATAAGAACAAGGAAGCAAAATGTTAAAACGTGAGGCTGCCTTTGTTCTCAAAGTAAACGATGAAGGAAAATGTATCTTGCTATCAGCTTTTTGTAGACTAGGTGAGACAGAATATGGTTCTTCCTGGGCACTTTGCCTTCTGCAAGCAGCCTGTTTATTCCTGATCTTCTGAGAATGAAAATCAACAGGCAATGGCATTGTGAGTTGTGGCTGGTTCCTATGAGGAGCTGAGAACCCAATGAATGAACTGTGGTGGCTCTGCTTGAGCTACCTTCAGGACTGGGACTTCCAGAACATTTCCATTGTGTCTTCAGTTTCTTTTGCAATGTTGAAACATTGGGAAGGAGATTCAGGAGAAATTCTCTATGCCAGAGGCACATAAGAAGCTTTATGTCATTCGGTTCCTCCTTGAATCTTTTGAGGTAGGCGGTTCTTTGTAGTAGAGGCAGGAGGGAAGGAAGAAAACATTTGAACATTTGAGACAAAAGTGGTGCACAGATTTAGCACAGAAGGTGTTTTTTTAACTGAAGTAAATGTAGTGAAGAGCCTATGACTAGGCGTTTTGGCTGCAAGGAGAAGTGCACATGTTCCACCTCTTGGGATGTGGTCTCTAATTATAGAAAATAACCTTTAAGGACAATCTTCTAAGCAAAGAAGTGTTTTACCTTTGTTAGCTGTACCCCCTTATACTTGCAGGGGGAATTCAATACCATGAAGTGAAATGCAAGCATGACACAATCTGGCACATTGCTATGAGTTATTCTGTCCTACTTAATTGTTTTGTTCCATAATACTTCCATTTTTTTTTCCTGCTAATAAGGCCTCTGTGCCCCTGTAATTCAGTGCCAAATGCCAATCATAACTTACTAAAACTATACAGTAGCCCTGGATGAAAGAAGGACTTTTATGCCAGAAGGGAGTGCAAGGTCTAATGGTCATTGATTAAACCCCATTTTCCAGACCTATGAGTTAGAAAATAGCCATTTAATGTAGCATTGCTGCACTGAACTCAAGTCAAGCTCATGGAGAACCTGAATGTGTGCAATACAAAATTGATACAGCAATAGTAGAACTTCCAGAGTGTTAAAATAGGCCCGTGTACTGCTGATTGGAGTGGTTTGATTACAGTACTCAGAGGCAAACAAAACTAATTATATAAAGCCCATCGCAATCTAAAAAGGACATATCATAAAAAACAGTCCACAAAATCAAATATTTTCTTAATTGTCTTTCTGTACCTTCTCTGTACATCTGATTTCTCTTTACAGTAGCTTTACACATGGTGTATATGCATGATCAGTACCCTGTTCTCCTAGCTCAGCTCACCTTTCAACCTTTCATCATTGACTTCATTTCTTAACCAAAACAGTCATGACTATAGTCACTGTAAACCCTCATGTTCTGCTATGCATCTCTACTTTTTTAATTCAGTCTAATATCACTATGCTAGAATCATAGAATAGAATCATAGAATAGTTAGGGTTGGAAAGGACCTTAAGATCATCCAGTTCCAAAACCCCTGCCGTGGGCAGGGACACCTCACACTAAACCATGTCACCCAAGACTGCATCCAGCCTGGCCTTGAACACCGCCAGGGATGGAGCATTCACAACTTCCCTGGGCAACCCATTCCAGTGCCTCATCACCCTTAAAGTAAAGAACTTCTTCCTTATATCCAACCTAAACTTCCCCTGTTTAAGTTTGAACCCGTTACCCCTTGTCCTATCACTACAGTCCCTAATGGAGAGTCCCTCCCCAGCATCCCTATATGCCCCCTTCAGATACTGGAAGGCTGCTATGAGGTCTCCACGCAGCCTTCTCTTCTCCAGGCTGAGCAGCCCCAACTTCCTCAGCCTGTCTTCATACAGGAGGTGCTCCAGTCCCCTGATCATCCTCGTGGCCCTTCTCTGGACTTGTTCCAACAGTTCCATGTCCTTTTTCTGTTGAGGACACCAGAACTGCACACAATACTCCAGGTGAGGTCTCACAAGAGCAGAGTAGAGGGGCAGGATCACCTCCTTCGACCTGCTGGTTACGCTCCTTTTGATGCAGCCCAGGATACGGTTGGCTTTCTGGGCTGCGAGCACACACTGAAGCCGGCTCATGTTCATTTTCTCATCAACCAACACCCCCAAGTCCTTCTTCAGGGCTGCTCTGAATCTCTTCTCTGCCCAACCTGTAGCTGTGCCTGGGATTGTTCCGACCCAGCTGTAGGACCTTGCACTTGGTAACAGTATCTGAATTTCAGATACTGTTCTGAGAGTGTAATGGATATACATATTTTTAGGGATAAAAGAGCCAATGTAAAACTTGTTAAAAATATGTGGACCCTGAGCATATGTTTTTGAACTTTTGGGCTGATTCCTTTTTCAGCCCCTTTGTTGTCCAAATCTCTCATAGCTGGGCTAAACACAGTTGCAGCTTTTGGGGAAAGGGCCATCTGTACAAGACTAGAGATTGCCATGAATAATTACTGTGCCATACTGTATAAATAAATTACATACTAATATCTGTAGTGTAAACCACTGGCACAGGATGTTAATAAATTATGGTGTTCTTGAAGATTTCTGGTTTGCTAAGCTCAATGGCAAAATCTCTCTGTTCAGCATTAGTAACCACAACGCTACAAGGTTTCCCTTTACAAATCTTTCATGGCTCTGACATGGAAGAGACAAGAGACTTCTTCCATACCTTCTCATTCTTTGTGCCTATGCTGAGATTTATTAGCAAGCTGCCAGTTTGTGTGATGAGATGTAATAGAGACCACTGTACCTTAGAAAAATAATCTCAGACCACAAAATTTATACATAAGGCATTGAAAGAATATCAACAGCTGAGCTTTAAATGGTCATTGAGATACTGATAAGGTGTGATAAAATGTGTTGTTTTTCTAATAGACTACCTGTAACTGTTTCTTATAACACCTCTTTAATAGATCATGCAGTGCTGGGAGAGCAATCAGGAGCAAAACATATGTGGCCATTACAAATGGATATCTAGGAAAGCCCAATCTATAACCATTGGGGTGATACATACATAATATAGAGATACATACATAATATACTTACAAGTAGTGGGAGAGAATTCCATCAAAATATTCTGGAAAGGTGAGGAAGAAGAGTTTAATGCCCCTGCTTATTTAGGGTATTACAGGGATAGGAATAAAGAAGGTGTTCTTCCAGTCCGTAGAGTTATAGGTAAAGATTTAAAACAGATATGAAAGCCACACTCAAGCAGCAAGAAATAGGGAATGAATTTAAATAATATGGAAGCTTTCTTCTTAATAAGTGTATGTGGCAAAACTAGCAAGTCACCTTTGAGGTGTTATTCAGGCAACATGCATGGCAATGCGGTGTAGAAAAAGGCAGTGTATGGGAAATCTATGACAGCAGTGAAACAAGGGAAGCTAGCAGCTGCATGAAGTATCATTGTTAGAGCTGTTAGCCGGGAACATCCAAAACATAAAAGAATGACACCCCACCCCAAATTCTATAAATTCTCATGCAAGAGATTCAGGTGACAAGGAAGACAAGGACAAAGATACTGTTTGTAGTAAAAGTGTTCTAAAAAATACTTACAGCAGTATGAAATGCAACAAGTACTTGCTGATTTGATTTTGATCTTTTCTTGTTAATATTATATTCAGAGCTCTTTATAAATGTGCATGAAGATAATATTCTTTCAAACAGCTTGCAAACTAAATACATACATATAGCTATTACAGCAAATCATCTAACACAGCAGTCAGCTAAGAAAAGCTGAACTTGCGCATATCAGATATAAAGGAAGAGCTTTTTCAGTAGTTCATCAGAATTACTAAATCCAGTCTTAAGTGATAAACAGAAACTGCATAGTTACGCAACATGGAAATTTAAGTCGTTTGAGTATAACTACTATTGATATTTGTGTAATAGCGTTAATATCTTAAAGTCCTTGCATGCTTCAGAAGTTGTAATCTATTTAAATGCTGTTATGTTGCTTTAAGGGTTTTTGCATGTTCATTTCTTAATATGTATTTGTAGACTAAACCCATATTTCTAATTACCCATTACCCATGTGAAAAATTTATGACAAAATACTCCAAAGAAGAAGGAGTTTCAAGCTGATTGCTCTGTGTGCTGTGGTTGTCTTTAAAAAACAGACTTTGGGATTACATAGTGCAGTTAAGCTCTGTCACCATTAGTTCAGGCTTTCCATCTTCCATACAGACTTCACAAGCTTCTGACAGCTGGATCTGTAACAAGAGCCATTTAGAGCCGCCCTCCCTTTGACCAAAGAAGCATTTGTAGATGACACTCAATCCTAACAGCCACCTTTTCTGGACGCTTACTGAAAGGGGCAAAGCATCTCAGCTGGTGCCTTCCCAATACCATGGGGTGGATAACTAATATCTTACAAGCATAAAATGGTCTTCAGAGCAATGCAAAGCGAATTTGAGGTTTAGTTTGTGACCCAAAGCTGGTGGTGATGTCTTTTTTTCCTTGAGAGTCCTTTTCCACA